GGTGTTCAGGAGAATATTTGGATCGAAAAGAGATGAAGTGACAGGAGGTTGGAGAAAACTGCATAATGAGGAGCTTCATAATTTGTACTCTTCTCCAACTGTAATTATAATGATCAGATCAAGGATGATGAGATGGACAGGGCATGTAGTGCGAATGGGGGAGAAGAGGAATGCATATAGAATATTGGTGGGAAAGCTAGAAGGAAAGAGACCATTAGGGTGACCAAGACGTAGGTGGGTGGACAATATTAAAATGGATCTTAGAGAGATATAATGATGGTATGAATTGGATTGATCTGGCTTAGGATAGGGACCAGTGGAGAACTCTTGTGAACACAGTGACGAACCTTCTGGTTCCATAAAATGCTGGGAAATTTGGAGTAGCTGCACAATTGGTATCTTCTCAAGATGGGTCCAGCTCCATGAGTGAGTGAGTAATTTTCACAAATATGATTAGAATTAGCAACAGTAACTCTTGACAATCAACCGTCTCATCCTTATTGGTAAGGACCCGAAAATAAGGCAGTCCCACTTTTCTAAGTATTAGTATTTGAAAAAAGAAACCGGGTGTCTAGTTGAGTGCACAGGACTTTTCTTCCATGTGGTTACATACGTAAGGCATGACGTACCCTCAAAGATGGTTTAGACCAGTGGTTCTCAACCTTTGTGAGACCGCGGCCTGGTGTAATTGATGTCAGGGCCCGGCGGTTGAGAAACACTGATTTAGANATTTGTGAGACCGCGGCCCGGTAAATTCCTTTTCCTATAAGACGAGGGCCCTGTGTAATTGATGTCAGGGCCCGGCGGTTGAGAAACACTGATTTAGACGGATTTTATTCTACATGAAGCCCGAATACAACGTTTATCATTCTTCACATTGTTTCTTCTTTTCGCGAACGGAAAAAAAAAGAAGTATAATTTATTGAAGAGTTTAAATACGTAACTCTGCCCTCGATATCTCTGAAAACTTATTCACCGGCGGAAGAGACTGTACCGAATTTGTAATTTATTTGCTCGCCGCTGTATTCAGTACATCGCGTTTCTTTTTCCATCCATCATCTATACACAGCCGCGTGACAGGTCTATTGAACTTAGAATGTAAATTGAAATTCAGCCATGTTTTTCAATACAAAAGCATAATAGTTTCTAATAGATTTTACATTAAAACTCACTGCATATATGTTAACAATACGAATGTCAATTTACTAAAATCACAGCTAGTCTCAAAGCAAGAGAAGTTCCATGAAAGCAATTTCCTTTGTTGCATTAGTAGGGAGGTTTGTACCACAAAGAGCTAACTGTCTTGCTTCTGTATGAACATCGTCTTCACATGTTTTTATTCAGTTCTGATACATCCTGTTCTATGATAGATTATTCCAGTTTATGCTATTTAAGAATTAGTTTTAAGAGTTATTAAAATTATTGGAATATAATCTATGCAACCCGTAAAAAAGTGTCACCTCTCCATAAATTCACACGGTCAAGATTGCTTTAATAGCAGTTCACGTTTTATGTCTGTTGTTTTGACTGGTTTATATAGTCTTTTCGTCTGTTCCTAAATGTGGCTTTCTTTTAGGAACATATCTCTATGTTTTTGACTACCCTGACTTGTGCATTCCCTTTGCGTTAACCTGATAATTTTTTATGTCTTTAAAGCCTACTTATTATTATATTTATTAATCCGTCGTTTCTTTATTCCCAGCAGCTTTCTGAGAAATCTCATGTTGGTATTTTAAATTCTTCTTTTGTCATTCTTCCTAAAACCGGCCATTTCGAAACCTTGTCTCTGTTTAAATACAATAATGTCTAGGCTTTCTATCTCGTTTTGTCTTTGAGAAGTAATTTCATTACCAATTCCATTAACCTTTCGATAAAGAAAGTTAGATGTGAATTACTCAGTTTCGAATTAAAACTATTAACCTAATCTCTTCGTTGGAGCTTACAGAAAATGAGTCCAATCAACCTTTTTATCTGATTCATTAAATTAATATTCCTTTAGAATTTAATTTCCTCCTAATATTTAATTACGAGTTTATTGCTTGAAATTGTATGGTTTTTATTACGTGACTAAACGTGAACCATATTTAAAAGGTTATTAAATATCATGACTACTGAAACTATATCTGTAACATCAGTTAAAAGGTGTATTATTTTCTTAACTGGCAAAATACATCGTCCTTTTCCTTATGGATTTAATTTGTTATTCATTTTTTTTTTCTTTCCTTGGCGCTTCAGCCCCAATTTGGGCCTTGGCCTACCTCCATGAAACTCTCCGTTTTCACTTCGGTTTACTAGATCTTAGACTCTCTGTAGCACTCCTTGGGCGGGTGATCAGCTCGTCACAATGCCTCTACCTGTACACAAACACAGAAAAACGCGTGCACACACACACACACACACACACGCACGCATAAAACCTAACCATCCATGCCCTGAGTAGGATTAGAACCCACGACCTCCTTTTCCGAGCGAGCGAAGACACTGGATGCCTTAGATAGCTCGACTACTGTGACCGGCATCTGTTATTAAAATACTACGAGGAAAATCTCTTAACATGTAGTTTGTTTCGAATTAATATTTCAGGTATTAGATTTATTCATAATTTATCTCATGCTTAATTTATTCATCCGGAGAGCTGCAATAGCAGAGCCGGTATAACGACTGGCTGCGGGCTGGACAACTGAGGGGTCGGATTTCGAGAACCGTTGGGGTCAAGAATTTTCTCTTCTCCACTTCGTCCAACCCGACTGTGGGGCTCACCCAGCCTCTTATCCAATGGGTACCGGCAGTTCTTTCCCCGGGGTTAATGCTGCCGTTGTGTGAAGCTGACCACTCACCTCCAGCTAGTGCCAAGCTCAAGAAAATATGGATGTATTTATCCACTCCCTTGATACGCCTTCATGGCGTAGTGCTTAATTAGTTATGTACAAGGAAATATTTACCCGAATTCATTCCTCCATTTATCCATTCTTTTTACGCACATTATACACTCATCATACGCCTGGATTCACTTTCTCTTCTCTCAGAACGCCCAAATAATGTGCTTCTGCTGTAGAGAAGGCGGCCCGCTTTGAAGGCTCTTGATAGCGGTGGAGTAGTGATTAATGGTTGACGTGTTAGATGCATCACACGAACACAGAAAAGCATGAATAAGGTCCCCTCAGTATGATCACCACAGCATGGCGCTGAGGATCTGTGGGCTTGTGTACGTCAGGATACTCTAACCTGTACCTTCATTTACTCTATTCAACAGCACAGATACAAGGAAGCCACGTCATAAAGAGGTATGCTTAAATGGAATATGCTCCCAGTTCGCGCATCTTCTCACGCCTGTATTTCAGTTTCAGTCTATTAATTGCGAGATGTCGTGAGTTGAAGATCGGAAAGGAGAGAAGAAAAAAGGAAGGGCGAAAATTACAAAGTGTTGCCTAAGCAGACAAGAAGAGGTGCTTGTTTCTGTGGATCTCAAAAGTCTATCAGCATTGCAACTAATACCCACAGTAGGCTCCATCCTGCCTTAACTGACAACTTTACAATTCATTTTGAAACTATCTTACCTTCTCCCGCCATATTTTCCAACTATAATTTTTATTTATTTGTTGCTTCTTATTTTCTACATTCCAAACCAATCGCAAATATATGTAGACGTAGCTATTCTAAAAATACGAATTGAAGAGGAAGAAATATGCAGCTTCATTTTTAATCCTCGTCAGATATTATTATGACGATCAAATCAAAGAAATGAGATGGTCTATGAATATAGCACACGAAAAGTTCTTAAAATCCCTTAGTGTGAATACCGGAAGGATAGAGACCGCTTGGGAAACTGTCCTTGCACGTGGGGATCTAATATTAAAGTGAACCTTCAATTATTTGGCTGTATGATGTGGACGATAGTCATTTGGAGGGCTCTTGTGAATATTTTGATGAAATTTTGGGTTATACAAAAGACAGAGCATTTCTGTCTGGTTGGATGTCTACAAGATTTTCGGAATCAGCTATGTTTAGTGGGACTAGAAGTAAGAACCTCCATAGTAAGTAATTTGATGTCTGCATAAAGATAAAAAAATAGGAAAGTCTGTGAAAATTTTTGTATATACGTACAAAAATTTACTTACATCCATATGGGTGTGCATCCATATGAGGACATAACTCGGTAAGTTTATGATGCAACAAAGACAAATTAGATGAAAAGGAATTGTTGTAAGTTCTCAACTGGGTTTGTTCTACAGAATACCCACGCTTTAATGAGAGTTGCATGACATTTAATAATGAAACAAAAGGCTTGCTTGCCATATCGCCAACATGGCTCCACAAAGCAAACCGTCACTTTACTGAACGAGATAATTTTCTCTTCTTTCCTCTTTTGTTATGTGGGAACAAATGAAAAAAAAAAAAACTGGGTGCCTCAAAATAATTCTTGTTTCCATTTCATTTTAAAAAAAGTCTCTCTTTTCATAACAGCTGATGGCCGATTCCTTTCAGTGTTTTTACATTGTCATTATTATTGTTTATATTCCAATGCCATTCGAAACTGTGTAGCTTCACAGTTGAAATAGCATCGTTAAATAATAAAAGAATGAGTCAATAAAAATGGCAATTTTTCTCTTTTTACATGTTTTCAAAATTGCCTGCTATAAATATGTACATAATTGCTCTTGTGCGCTTTTCGAATTGTATGTTGTTTTAGTATGATGTTTCAGTGTAAAAATATGAAACTAACTTGAACGAGTAGATCATGTAGATTGAGGGACGACTTTTTCTTTTTATGTCTGCGTCGGGGTAAAATCTTCCTTCTAGCTTCTTCTTCGTCTCCAGTTTACTCTTCCTCGTGTTTATTCTTAATTCAATACCAGCCATTTACCCCCCATATCTTATTTAGTATGGCAACCTTCAGAAACCCAGCGGACTGCTTTCTGGAGCTACAAGTGTATACCTCTAAGTCTTGCTGTTTCAGTCTTTGTGTGCAGTAATGATCACTTCTGTTTGCTTGCTTCTAGGCCGTGGAATGCGGTGAGAACAGGCTCGTTACCTGTGGACGGGTGAATTCTGCTCACCTGACTGCAGGGCCGTCAACATGGTGGATTTCGGCAACTCCTCCAAAAACCGTTGGGTCTGTCCAAATGACAGGCAGTTAGCACTGAGGGCAAAGTAAGTCACATTAAGAATGCTACTTATTTAACCCATGAAGCGGAGTCCTCCTTGAGAAACTGACAACTGTCGTACCTTTTCATGGAAGGTTCTCAGTAGCCCTTGCTAAGACACTACAATGAGACAATTGAATGTCTTCCGCACCTTAACAGCCTGTATCTTGAAGCCTCATTTAGTATTGTCCTCCACTCTACCTCTCTGTCTCTCAAGTGTTCTCTGTCCTTCAGAGTTTTCGACTAAAATTTGGTATCCATTTCTCAACTCCCGTACCTGCTGTACGAGCATATCAAAAACAATGCAACTAGTCAGTTACTTGCAATGTTTTAATTATTTTTAGTTTTCGTTCTTCTGCTCTGTAAAAATACAGACGAATGAACAGTTCCTTCAAGGGTTATCATAGAAATGTAATTGTTATATAGATTCGTAGCTGAAGAGACAGGTGCCCGGAGGAATGGAATTCTCGTTTGTATTTCTCTTCAACCATAAACAAAAACTCCGGTCAAACCATTTTTTTTTAAATATTGTATCGCAACTTCATGTAGTTTTGCGTTTCCAGTTTTATTTATTTCCATCAGCACAACTTCTGTGTCGATACAGTACAAGTTAATTATCAACTATATGTTTCGACCTTTCGGCAGTCATCAGGTATACATCCACCTACAACCAATGGACAGAAGGAAGGAGTGAGCAATGCAGCCAACAGTGGATGTGCATACTTGATGATGGCCGAAAGGCTGAAATATATAGTAGATAAATAACATATACTGTGTCTATACAGACAGAAATAAATACAATCAGATTTAAAAATTCTGGATGAAAGATCACATATAACCCCTCCTCTACATTTGTCTAAATTGTGTGATCAGCCTACTGGCCTGTCTGGTGTACTGGTTTTGGTAAATTTTATCATTAAATTTGTATCTCGGTATTACCTCCATTTTATTTGATAGCTAATGGCGCATTCCTTTAAGATTCTTACAGAGTTGTTATTTTTTAGTATCTAACCACATCATCACACTCAGTTTCACTGCTAAAATTGAAACAGTTTCATTAAAATCTTAGGAATCTATTAATAAAGCGGGTCTAATATGCTATTTCTTTTTTCGGAAAAAGAAATCGCTAGGTAAGCTACTGTACATATTTGTCTTGTTCCTCCTTTTAGCTCCTAAACTTTATCTTTTTGTATTATTTTCAAACGTAAAGCAGAGTTTACAACAGTGAATTCAGGTTTAGATCGTTTCTTCTTTCATTATAAAATCTCTTTAAAAGAAAAAACACCTCGGAGCGGATAAAATAGGTAAGTTTAATGGGTCAGAAGTTCGTGTCGATGTGACTTGCAAAGAAGTTCTTGGCTGCTATTGCAACTCCATAAAATTGGATTCGAGCATGTCACAAAGTGGCCACATAAATTCGGGTGATTCTATACTACATACATATGTTTTCTCACGGAGAAGGCTGCAATATGTCATATGACAGTGTGATTCGAAAGCATTAGTAAATTTTGTGAGGGGAACGTAGTAAATTTTATTTTCTTTATAACACCGATGTTAGTAGGGCCATGAATATCAATGGATATATAAATGTAAAGCAGGAATTATTGAATTGCAACGCAAATATATATATATATCAACAAAATATACCTAGAACAGAATTTAATTCCAAAATATGCACACACAAAATAAAAGCATCTAATCAATTTACAAGCTAATACAAATGACTGTTTTATTTCTTTGTCTTATCATCTTCCATGTCAAGTGTATCACTCGTCATCAGGGCATGATGCATCCACATGTTGCGGATGGAGGAGACGGCCTTCAGATATAGAGGGTAGCTGCGAATATATTGAATAAGCAGTCGCGGACAGCGGACAAAGCTGGCCCTCCATCGTAGGGGTTGGGCGTGAGGCTAACAACTCCTCACGGTGGGGGGAGAGGGAAAGCTTGTTATGAAGTGTCACTAAGGGCCTCGGACTTGTGCGGATTCTTTGGATAAATGACCTAAGCATAGAAAATGAACATGAGATTCGGTACTTGGAATGTTAGAAGTATGTATAGGGCAGGTTCACTAATAGCAGTTGCGNTGATACGATGTCGTACATATAATAAGAGGCTTCTGGTGTGATATGGTTGTTCTGAATGTTCATGCCCAGACAGAGGATAAAACTGATGATATGAAGGACAGCTTCTACGAGGAACNAAAATATACGTTAGATTTAGTGTGAGTACAGGAAGTCAGATGGGTCGGAGGTGGCGTCGAACCAGCTGGCGAAAATATATATTTTTTCTGTGAAAGGGGAATGAAAATCATGAATTAGGTACAGTGTTTTTTTGTGCCTAAGAGAATCATGTCAGCAGTTAAGAGGTTAGAGNACAGATAGGAAAGAGTGTTTACACGAAATAATAATGATAATGGGATTAGGCTGGTAAATTTGCCACGTCCAAAAATCTGATTTTCAAAAAACAATGTTCCCACATCGTAACATCCATAAATTTACTTGGACATCTGATGGAAATACAATCAAATTGGCCATATTTTGATAGATAGGAGACGGCATTCAAGTGTACTTGATGTCCGGCTATCCAAACAGCAGATTGTGATACTGACCACTGTCTGGCTGTGGCAAAATTTAGGGAGAGACTGGCGGTAAGTAAACGAACAAAGCACAATAGACCACTGTAGGTCGCGATGCAAGGGCTGAGAAGGCTCACTCCTTATACATTCATTCATTCAAGTAGACGAACAACGCGCAGAGTTCATATTGAGAGGTTCAATCTCAAGAAATTAGACTGGGTAGAGTGTAAAGAGCAGTATCGTGTTGAAATCTCAAATAGGTTCGCAGCTTTGGGAAACTTGGAATCTGAGTGGGATGTTAATAAAGCTTGTGAAACTATTAGAGAGACTATCAAAATATCAGCCAGAGAGAGTCTAGGTTATTATGAATTGAATAAGCATAAGCCATTGTCCGACGAAAGATTCTCAGAATTATTAGATCGAAGGAAACAAGCCAAACTGCAGTGCTTACAAGATCCAAACGAAATAAATGGGGATAATCTGAACAATATAAGATGCGAAGCCAGCAGGCATTTCGGGAATAAAAAGTGGGAATATCTGAAAGACAAAATTTATGAGCTTGCAGCGAACAGTAGGAACAAGAAAATTAATGACCTGTATAGAAGAATAAATTAATTTAAGAGGGGTTACCAACCTAAGATAAATTAGTGCAGGATGAGAATGGTGATTTGCTTGCAGATTCCCACAAAATTTTGTATAGTTGGAAGAAATGCTTGTTTCATTTATCGAATGTGCATAGGGTAGTGATTTTAGGCAGACAGCAATACATATGGACGAGCCGTAAGTACCTGAGCCTAGTCTTTTTGAGGTTGAAATTGCTATTACAAAGTTGAAAAAGTATCAATTGTTAAGTAGTGATCAAAATCCGGCATAACATATTCAAGCAGGAGGTGAAACATTAGGGCATGAGATCCATAAACTCGTTAATTCGATTTTGAGTAAGAGAAAATTGCCTGATCATTGGAATGCGTCTATTATTGCACCAGTTCAGAAGAACGGTGTTAAAACTGACTGTATTAATAAATCGTGGGATATCACTGTTATCAACTTTATGCAGAATTTTTTCCAATATCCTTCACTCAAGGTTAAGTCCATATACAGACTAAATTACTGGGGATCATCACTGTGACTAACAGATCAAATATTGATCAGAGTTTTTGCGTTCGTGCGATATTAAAAAAAAAACTGTAGTGCAGTGAGACAGTACATCAGCTTTTCATAGACTTCAAGAAAGACTGCGATTCACTCATGAGGGGAGTATTGGACAATATTCTCATCGAGTTTGAGGTACCCATGGAAGTAGTTAGCCTGATTAAAATATGTTTAAATGAAACCTGTAATAAAGTCCGTATAGGTAAATATTTGTCCGATAATTTTCCTATTCAAAATGGTCGAAAACAAGGAGGTGCTTTAAAGTCACTGCTTTTCAACTTTGCTTCAGAATGTGCCATTAAGAAGGTCCAGGGAAACCAGGTGGGACTGAAATTAAATGGGACATATTAGCTGCTGGTCTATGCTGATGTGAACGTACTGAGAGGTAGCAAAGATACCATAAAGGGAAACACAGAAGCTTTAAGCTTGGTCTAGAAGTAAACACAGAGAAAACTAAGTATATGTTGCTGTCTCGCCACCAGAATACAGTGCAAATTCACGACATAAAGATAGCTAACAAATCCATATAAAACATGGCACAGATAAAATATTTCGCAACGAGGAAAACAAATATTTTATTCAGGAGAAAATTAAGAGGAGATTGAATTCGGACAATGCTTGCTACCATTCAGTCCAGAATAAAGGTTCTGTCTTCTCATCTGCTGTCTAAAAACGTAAAAATTATAATATTCAGAATTAAACATTTTCCATTGTTTCTGTATGAGCGTGAAAGTTGGTCCCTGTCATTAAGGGAGGAACATAGACTGAGGGTGTTGAGCAGAATATTTGAGCCGAAGAGAGATGAAGTTACAGGATGATGGAGGAAACTGCATAATGAGGAGCTTCATAACTTGTACTCTTCGCCAACTATAATTGGAATGATGAAGTCAAGGAGGATGAGATGGGCAGGGCACGTAGCACGAATGCGGCGAAGATGAATGCATATAGGAATGTTGGTCAGAAAGCCAGGAGGAAAGACCAAGACGTAGGTGGGTGGATGAAATTAAAATGGATCTTAGGTAGGATGGGCTGTTATGGATTGGATCGATTTGGCTCAAGATAGGGACCAGTGGAGGGCTCTTGTGAACACAGTAATAAAACTTCGGTTTCCTTAAAATGCTGGGAATTTCTTGAGAAGCTGCACAACTGACAGCTTCTCAAGGAGGTCTCAGCTTCATGAAGTTAGTTATCATATTACATAAGAATTTTATCATGAAATTTTGTAAAAAATGGATCCATATGACCTTACAATCCTGTAATAATGTGATTTAATTATTTATACCCTGATGATGGTGCATGGACCGAAACATGTAGCGCAACACGACAAACGGAATTGATTAATGTGTCCTATTTATCTTAATCGAGTTTATTAAAATGGTAACCGGTCTGTTTCTTTGTTCTGCGGGCCGTCCTAATGCCATCGACATCAAAGAAGTAAATGCTGAACTTCTTTGGTTTCACTTAATACGAGGAAATTCAGTTAGCCTCTCAACGGTACTTTGGGCGGATCTTCGCTATGGTAAAAGAAGAAGACTTAATATATTCCGGCTCTTTATATCAGCCTTTGTGTATTCTGAATTTACTACTCTCATTTACATCTTGTCCCTTCATTTCTGGAACGGTGTATAACCCCCTCCATGATTCACGAATAACCTGATAGGGTTTGTTATGTATAGATGTAATCACTTTCATCCCTTTGCTTGGGGCTCTTGCAGACGCTCTCCTCTTTATCTGCTTCACATTGACTCTGTTGCTACTTTCGCCATCTGCTCTGATTATTCCTGACGAGAACTCCCCTTCACAATGAAAAATGGCATAATGACCAGATTTGAGATAGGGCTCATCTGTATCGGATGAAGCGAACTTGAGACAGAGAGGTATCTTACTTACTTATGGAGCTAGCGGCCTCCGTAGTCTAGAGGTAACGTTCCCACCTCATGACTCGTGGTACGCGGGTTCAAAAACCCGGCGGAGGTCGTGGAATTTTTAAGGGCGGAAAAATTCAGGGAACAAGTCCTCCGGGTGGGTCCCCTGTCGTAGATTTATGGCACGTAAAAGAACCTCATGTCTCTAGGAGACCTCTGAGCAAAATTAGGCCAAGTTTCCCGCCCAAGTAGTTTCCAATTCCTCCGGTAGATGGGGGAAGTATCAGGTACCACTGCCAGAGGAGGGGGGACCTCTCTGACAGAAAGGGACTAAAGTATTAGATACCACTGCCAAGTAGAGGGTAGAAACCTTGCTGGCAGAAAGGGACTAGGAACCCCTGCCAGAGGAAGGACGACCTCGCTGACAGAAAGGGACTAACTATTAGATACCACTGCCAGTAAGAGGTTGGAACCTCCCTGGCAGAAAGGGGCTGATAGTAAGCACCAGTACCGGTAGGGTATGGAGACAGTAGAAATTAAAGGGGGACGCACAATGGACCAGTAACCGGTCTAAGTGCATGGGGAAACCCACCCCCTCAATACGGAATACGGAATACTTATGGAGCTGAGCCCTTCTTGAGAAGCCAAATCTGCAGCCAACCAAGAATTTCCCAACATTTTATGGAACCTGAAGGTTAATCACTGTGTTCAAAAGAGGCATCCACTGGTCCGTATCCTGAGCCAGACCAATCCAATCCATCCCATCATATCTCTCTAAGATCCATTTTTATATTGTTCACCCATCTACGCCTTGGTCTTCCCAGTGGTCTCTTTCTTTTTGGCTTTCCCACCGATATCCTACATGCATTTCTCCTCTCCCCCATTCGTGCTACATCACCTGCCCACCTCATCCTCCTTGACTTGTTTATTCTAATTATACAGGAGAAGAGAACAAGTTCAGAGAGGTATCAGATTCCGGAAATCCTAAGTGAGGAAAAAATGTCGTCACTTTCTTGATTCAAAATGTTCTCTTCGTCTCGCACGCTATTTTTAGACTCATTTCGAGTAACTTTCTCCGTCTTCCCTTTATTTTGTGATGTAGAGGCCTCTGGGAGTTACCAGATTCCTGAGTTTGGAAAGAGGTTTATAGATCAATTTTTTGTGGTTTTTATGAATTCCTCTGCTGTGATGATCAGGGGTTGTACTCATCGGAGTTACATATATTTTTGTTGGAACTCCTGTCAGTCTCCAGGTGATCGAAGTACGGCTTCCCGCCATTGCGGACCGGTTTTGATCCCAGGCCAGATCATGTGGGATTTGTAATGGACAAAGTGACACTGGGACACTCGTAGCGCTTCGGATTCGCCTGCCAGTTCTCATTCTAGCAACTGCTTTACGTTAATTAATCGTCGTGTAGTCTCAGTACTCATAGTCATAAGAAGGTAAAGTTGTCCCTGTGCTTAAGTAATTAAGCCCTGCGCCATGAAGACGTTTGGGGGAGTGGTTGTATAGATCCACGTTTTCTTGACCTGGGCACTATCTGAATGAGAATGGTCAGCTTCACGCCTCGGCCTCTTTACCCCCGGAGAAAGGCTCCCCTGCACCCATTGTACAGGAGGCTGGGTGGGTCCAAGAGCCGGTCTACACGACATGGAGAAGAAAAAATTCTTGAACCTACCGGGACTCGAATTCCGACCCATCGGGCGTTCAGCCCGTAATCAGTCGCTATACCGCCTGCACTACCCAAGACTTGGAATTTGATAGAAGTCATACTTATTTCAAGCCGTTCACAACGGTCGCATGATCTTGAACTTAACACTGGAATCATCGAATCTCGCTTTGTGTTTTATTGTTTTGCAATGGGTCGATACCCCTTCCGGAAACATCATAGATTGTACAAAAGATTGCATTGTTAAAAGAATTACGAACTGAATCAAGCCAAAGAAAGGAATACACGAAATAGTTATATATTTTTGGGATGTAGTCCGGTGAGATTCAACCGACGTGTCGAAGGAAAATATTGCTTCCATCTTAAGTGTCGAAAAGTAAGCTAAGGAAGGAACTAGCTTGATGCAGACTGCGAATAGGCGCAATTCGTTTCCGAAAATCCAGGTATTATACAGAAAACTATAAGTGAGCTCGTTACTTGCCATTGGCTCGCTTTGGGAGCCAAGACAAGAGAAATATAGTTAGGATCAGCCCGTCAGAAAGGACTGTTTAGGCAGTACTGAACCTCTGAAGATCGAGACGACATGCTCCTAAAAACAGATATAAAGCAATTTATAGAGTTTCTGTCATCAGTTCCACTACCACACCAACTTCATTTTATCTGTGAACGTATTGAGAGATTCTTGTTCTTCTGGAATGTTATACACGTATTTGTCTGAAAAGTGGGTCTGTGTGTTTCCTCATAGGTTGAAGACTGGCTGGTCTGTAAAGACTCAGCAATTGCAGTCCTTTGGCGGACGCCAGGACTCAACACTGGACGAAACTGAACAAGCAATTATTAAGGATGTGATCAGGAGAGCCGAGATGCTGGAAGTGACGGAACAGGACCGAGTCGGGTAAGTCTCCATTTTGTTACTTACCTCTACAAGATGGCGGTCTCTTCTTGTTAAGATAGCCATAAAAATAATATCAATAGGTGCTTGAAGAAAAAATTAACTTTTCATTCTGGAATATAACGACTATTTAATTTTATTATCGCTTGTATCTTGGTAACGGGAAAGTAAATAATGTATTCCGGATTTGATAAAGCGATTTATTGGATAGATTTACCGCCGGGGAAAAAGCCCCCGGTACCCAATGAACAAGAGGTTGGGTGGACTCCACAGCCGGTCTGGACAATATTTAGAAGAGAAAATTAGTGCTCCCACCGGGACTCAAACTCCGACCCCTTGGTTGTCCAGCCTGTCACCAGTCGCTATATCGACTACGCCACCCCGGCTAATATAGAAGAACGAAATGGCTGTAAATTGTTGGTCCACGCTTCCTTTGTGGTTATATCACGATTACTTTGCAGTAAACAGAGTATCATTTATAATAGAAAACCCACTGTTTACATGCATCAACCCACAACACGTGGATGACTTTGTCTATGACAAGAAGCGTGACACCCTAGTGGGCCTGCGCATACCATCCTCCTGTCTCGCTATCATGCACTCGGCGTCAACTGGTGGCGCGTCTGTAATAATAATAAAGAAAGATTAGCTTTGACCCTTTGGACATATATAAGATATGGTGTCGTGTAATGCAAGAAATTACCAAAATTAATTGTGTCGAATTATCTTATTTATAGCTCCAAGAAACATGCCGGCGCCAGATACTGCCCGCACCCGTTTTTTAGTGGTTTGGATATTAGCCCGATCAAGAGTTCGAGCCCAATCATCGCTATTTTTTAAAAGAAGCAATAAATGATCTCTCATTGTAACGACAAATACTTTAAGATCAGAGTGGAGTCAATCTCAGAACATGGGCGTCAAATACATCTAAGGCCATTAACGACATCCAACAGAACATGCAGAGCTTCATATTGCTAATTATGAGCTAATTATCAGAGTAGTCGATTTTTAGGCATTATCAGCTGTTTCTAATTTTTATTTGAAACGACTGTCCGGAGACAATCTTCGTCCTCTGGTAAAAAGCCTACTGTATTGGGTTCCGAAACGCATTTTCAAATACAAATTACGACGATGGATAATGCCCCAAAAATTGCATTTGTATTACTATATTATCGTCACGGCCGCATAGATATTAAGATGCAATTATATTTTAAATTTCGGGAAAAAATACAAAAAAAAATGTTTATTTTATTTCGAGGATACCGGCTATTAGTAAGTCTGATATTAGGGCCGCACAATAGCTTATGCGGTTAGTCGCTGGCTTCCCACCGCGGCGGCCCGTGTTCGATCCCGGGTCTGGTCAAGTGGGATTTGTGGTGGACAAATTGGCGCTGGGGCAGGTTGTCTCCGAGTACTTCGGTTTCCCCTGCCGATCTTCATTCCACCAGTTGCTCCACAATCACCCTCACCTATCATCTGGGGCTGGTAAAGTAGGCCAGAATTGGCCACAGTACAAGGGACTTAAAAAAGTTTGATATCATGTTCGAGGGTGAATGCTAGACTCTGTACAGGGAATATTTTTAGTAGCCAGTTCACTGTTTTGCGCCTCATCGCTACCGGTGCATCGCCGGCCGCGAAGCGCATGCGATTTCTACCGATGAATCAGCATGCTTTACGGCCGATAACATTTTGAATGAAGGAAAATAATTAACTTGTAGGTCTCTACACAGTATTATGCTACACGGCGGGCAGTGCGGTTCATTTATAGGAGTTTGTTTATGATTTGTGAGCAGTAGGCAGTAGTTAACAGCGCCATGAGCTATTCGTTCCAAGATAACAGTTAGTCAGCAATGTGGCGCGAGGTGGCTCTCTGTAATTGAGAGCAACGCATATTTCTGTGTGACACCTACTTGGAATACGGATCTGCTGGAAAGTGTCGGCGAAAATTTCGTGACGAAAGAGTTCCCAGCTGACAAACAATTCATAATTTGGTGAATAAACTTAGAATAACGGGACGCTTCATAGAGGGGAAGTTAGATGACAGGAATCATTCTGGAACACTGACCTGGAAAATCACTGAAACGTCGAGCTCAAGAAACGAGTGCAGGAACGACAACACAATTGCTGAAGCCACCCAGTGAAAATTGGTGCCTGGTGTGCCGTAAATGCTAGGTGGATTGTTGTACGTCTGTTTTATAACGAAGCAATTAATTGCGAAAGATATGTACGTGTAGAGGGATAGCGTTTTCAGCACCATCTGTGATCTGTGAACAAAGGTAAGAACTTCTCTTCATTCCAAATGTCAACGGCATGCTGAGTCATCGGTAAAATTTGCGTGCGCTTCGCGGCCAGCGATGCGCCGGTCGCGGTGAAGCGCAGAGCCGTGAACGAGTCAAATTCATAAAATAACATTCTGTATATATATATATACAGAATGTTATTTTATGAATTATATATAAACAATGGACTTAGTGAGTACAAATGAGACTACGCATGGATTGAAAAAAAATAAATTTATGTGGTGGCATAAGAAATAAAGATAATGAAAGGAACGGTACCATCTTCTGGGTTTTTAACATAGAGTTCGGTAGAAGTCAGCCGAGGTTTCAAAGGAATATGTGGCTTCCATCTTCAGGGTCGAAGAGTAAGCCAAGCAGGGAACCAGCAACGAACAAGGGACGAGCTGTTTACAGTATAGAACATCATACTCTTCACAGTGTCCGCTTTGAGAGCCTCACATGCGACACGGGGGGAATGCTTTGGAAACTAATACAATTACAAATATATAGTACCAAGAAATATCGAAATATATGGAGAAACCCTGGTCGTCAGTTGTCGGAAAACAGATTACGCAAGTCATTCTTTATTTATAGATGTCGAAGGAGGAAGAGATCTTCGAAGGCTTTGCTTGAGCCGGAAGGGGAAGTTAATGTAGTTTTTATCTGAGGTAGAACGAGTTCGTATCTTGCAGAGAAGGGCATTGGTGAAATTAGATAATGCTTTAAATAATATACACGTGAGAGCAAACCTGTTCATTTCCGATTCACACTCACGCACTCATGGAGCTGAGCCCTTCTTGAGAAGCTGCCAATTGTGCAGCTTCTCTAGAATTTCCCAGCATTTTATGGATCCCGAAGGTTCATTACCGTGTTCACAAGAGCCCTCCTCTGGTCCCTATCCTGAGCGACATCGATCCAATCCATAACACACCATCCTACCTAAGATCCCTTTTAATCTCATCCACCCACCTACGTCTTAGTCTTCCTATTGCTCTCTTTCCTTCTGACTTTCCCACCAATATTTTATATACATCCATAGTCTCCCCCATTCATGCTACATACCCTGCCCATCTCATCCTCCTTGACTTGATCATTCTAATTATACTTGGAGAAGAGTACAATTTATGAAGCTCCTCATTATGCAGTTTTCTCCAATGTCCTGTCACTTCATCTCTCTTCGGTGCAAATATTACCCTCAACACCCTGTTCTCAGACACCCTCACTCTGTGTTCCTCCCTTAATGTCAGACACTAAGTTTCTTTTTCGATTGACTGATAATTTCTCCGGAAGCAGAGGGCATTACAGCCCTTCTTGTTTGCTGTGAGAATCTCACAACAGCGACTGCTACCAGTACTCTCTTTTGAGATGTGACGTCGTGCAGTCTGTTAGAAGCTTTCCGACATTTCGGAGACACGTACTGCCTCCATCTTCAGGGTCGAGGAATAAACCGTACAAGACAAAAAGACAGTAAGTTTCTACCCGACCACACGGCATCACTTCCAACACGTTAGTATTTTTCATAGTAACAGTCTTTAAAATCTCATATCTCAAATGTTTTTTCCAGCTCATGTTTTAATACAGTACATGTGCAGGTATTTGGTTGTGTCTAGTGACAGACAAACACGGAAGAGTCAGTGGTCTTGAGTTTTGTCAATGGAAATTTCATTATTTTCAACCCAAAATTCCGTAAATTTTCCTGATATTTTAACACACAAAATGAATTTTACTGTTTATATTAATTCCATCATTCATTTGCATGGGGAACCGGGACAGTTTTTAATTTAATTGTAGTTAAACTTTCAATAGGATCTCAGCCTTCATTTAATTTGCTCTAATTCCCTTTTACGTAGACTATGTAGGATCAGTCGCACTCTCTCTGTTGGACATCCTGTCGATAATCTTAGATATTACATAACAAGATCGTGACGTCTTCATCATTCGTTAAAAAGCAAAGTAGAGAAGATCTCTACCTTCTGAGATGTACTGCCGTTGATACTTATTTCATACTGGTTGTTTGCTTGGCTTAGTCTTCGACCCCGAATATGGAAACACCATGTTCTTCCGAAATTTCGCTTGATTTTCAACGGACTACACAGCTGCCGACGCGTAAGGCTGACAAACTTACCGTCATCTGTGAGCTGATTTTCTAGAGAAAATGTGGGAACCTCGAAGTCTGACAACCCTATTGTCCTTCATGACCTGTTACAGGGATAACTTTACCTTTTCACGCTAAATAGTTCATTCTGGGCCGTTTTTAAACAAAACAATAACAACACGAGTTAAAATTCAAGACTAACTTCATATATGTTTGTCGCTAAGTTTTTAATTAACTTACCGAATATTCACGAGCTGAGATTGTAGGGAATTAGAAATCGGAATTTTCAGTATTTATAGCCAATAGGCTACAATGTGGACGTCCGGGGAATCTGGGTTCGATTCATAGTAGGAGGAAGCAATTCTTTTTCATTTCCATAACATCTAAACTGTCTCTGAAGTTCACCCAGCATCCTGTTCATGGGAATTAGGGGATGTTTCCTCGGATGTAATGCGGTAGGGGCGTGAAGCTGACTACTGACCTCCATCTGTTGCTGAGGTCAAAAAAAAGATGGATATATAATTTCACTCCCCCGTACGTCATTATATTTATTAAATTAAGTCCAGGGATAAATTTATTTTTATCTTTTACATAATTCTGCCCCAGTTTCTAACAGGAAAATATTGATA